AGTTATAACTTTATCTTCTCTATTCTTCTTCCCTAGCTGTCTACAATTCTAGTTCCCTTTAGAAAGTACATATACAAGATCATAATTCTATAATGTGATACAATATTTTGTTAGTGTGCGTGTGTGTGTGTGTGTGTGTGCGTGTGTGTGTGTGTGTGTGTGTGTGTGTGTGTGTGTGTGTGTGTGTGATATGTTCAGGGGCTCTCAGAGGCCAGACGAGTGTATTGGATCTTGTAAAGCTACAGTTACAGATGTTGCGAACTACCCAAGTGGGTGCTGGAAACGAAACTCAGATCCTCTGAAAGATCAGCAAGCTGGACCACCTTTCCGGTACCCTCTCATAATATTCTAATGCATACTATTCAGTTGTACATCATGGTTGGCCTCTGTTTTATACGTAACTCCTCCGGATTGAATAGAAAATTAGTTTCTTTGCAAGAGTATGTATTTGATCCTTTCAGCATGTATATCATGTAACCTCCAAATATAAACAACCAGTATTGGTGTAAATAAATATATATAAACAATGAAATGGATGCTAGATTCCAAAGGACTAATCCATGACAGAGACATACTGGCTAACTACTTTCTTGCCCATTTTTCCCACTTTTTTGTGCTCAGCCAGCACTCTATGTCAGGATACCGTTCTATTTTCCAATGTCAATTTCACCTTTAGTACTTTATTGCTTTTTGTAGCATAATTTCAGAAAGATTTTTTTCAGGGACCCTAGCTATTTGTATAAATAATAATTTATATAAATTATATACATAACTTATATTTCTATAAATAATAATTTAGTCACATTTGCTGGCACACACCTATAATTTAGCACTCATAAATCTAAGGCAAGAGAATCACAAGTTCAAATATATTGTTCAAATGTACTGTATATTATGTTCAAATAAGCATGGTGAGGCCCAGACATGCCTTGGTTTTTAGCTAAACAACATCTCAAAAAACAATGGTTGAAAACAATTGGTGTTCAGTTTCTAAGGCTCATATATCATTCAGCAGTCAGAAGATTTTTTGTTTAGTACCATTATTGGTGATTTTTAAATAACAAAATATTTGGATGTTCAAGTCTTCTGTTCGAAAAAAATTAATGATCACAAAGCCAAGAATTAAGGTGATGTGTATGTATATATACATATATGTGTGTGTATGTGTATATATATATATGTATATATATATATACACATACATATATATATATATATATACACACTACCTTAACATGTATATATATATATACATACATATATACATACATATATAAACAAAAACATGATTTATAGGATCTATTCCATGATTTATTAAAATAGCTATAAACTGACATTTTTAATGTGAAAAACTACTTAAACTTAGAGCTGAAAAATGATCTATGCAAGATGAAATCACTGACATATTCTCTCTTAGGATCCACTAAAATGGATCGCAAACAAAAAAAAAAAATCCATAGAAGTCTTATTTGCTTTTATAACATGGTAATATAAAATGCCTTTTTCCTAAATAAAAATGTTTCCAAATTTTAAAATTACGTTCACATATTTATTTATTATAAATTTCATTACATGTTTGTGGGGCTCTCAGTAGAAAAAATTCAGTTGTTTGAAAAACATAAAGGATAATAGATATTAATGAAGAAAAACAGTTTATCCGGAAAAAGATACTTAAATGGTTAACATAAATATACATTATTTAAACCTATAAACTGTGATGAATTAGAAAGAATAAATTCATCCTACTTTTTATTGAAGAGAAAAAGTATTCTCAAATTTTAACTTGTATATATAGAATAAATCAAAACAGTAAAAAATATCGGTATACTACTGACTCATTATCAGGGGTCTGGAACGTAAAGTTATGGAAGTTTAATTGGTTCGATAAAGGAAAATCAAATTTAGAAACTCTTCACAGAGTGAAATCTTATACCCCATGTATTTATCTTGTAAATATTTACAGTTTAAGATGTGTAAGCATTAAAATAATACAATAAAAAAATAAGATATGGACTTTGCCCTCAAGGAGCTTACAGTCTAGGATGGAAAGTATAAATAAACATATCTATAGCTGTAACATAAGATAGAAAGTGATGGGTCATGAGAAAACTTAGATCTTATGGAATTTATTAACATTCACAGACATACTCTTTCTGTAGTGGCTAGGTGTGGAATAAAAGCAGACCAATAATCTATTTAAAAATTAAATGTCAAATTTTGTGAATTTGTTGATGAAAAACCAAAGTTTAGCTATTAATGCAACTTAATTCACCATGCATCAGTTCTTTAGAATGGTAAACATGAAATAACAACCCATTAAAGATACTACTGTGTCATTGTTTATAAGCAGACACAAAAAGAATCCTAATAGTTAGGTTTGGAATGATCATTTAAATGTATTAAGACCTCACCCACTCATGACACATTACTTTCTTGCACAGAAATTTGCTCAGTGAGGTTAAAGGGATGAAGATTTCCTCGACGGCTCAAGTGTGCTCCAAGGAAAGCTAGAAGGTTGTACAGTTAACTCCCAGGGTATAACTCTAAACCATACAACCTACTACCTCAACCCGGATGCACACAGCTTCCAGTGCTCCTCCATACTCCTTATCACATCTTCAGTCAGCTCCTCCAAACATGGTGGCCAAGCACCAGAGCGCGTGGCAAGGTTGTAGACAGAATATTCTAGTGGATTACCAATCAACTTCAAGTGTATCTTACAGGGCCACCCCAGTTTGGTGGGTTTATTGTATAGGTCACATGAAACATCTTTTGACATCTCATTTGCCACACTTCTACTAGCAGTGAATAAATTTAAAAGTCACTAGTATGAGCCCTCAATTTTGAAGAGAAACAGGATCAATTGCAACATATAAATCTAGTTATAGACTTTATTCTGCTGTTGAAGTGGATAAGGCACATTGACAGAGAAAGTGCTGAAGTTTCTCAACAACAGCTATTCCGATTTTGCTAAAAGCCAGCTATTAAAAAACAAAAACAAACAAACAAACAAACAAACAAAAAAACACCAACCTTTTGAAAGCAATTTATTGCTCTTGAATTTAGCCTTGAATGGCTAGTACTACACATAGTTCCAGAAAGTCAACAATTAAAACATGCCTTGTAAGACATGTGAGCATTAATATACACATAAAGAACAAATGAAGTACGATTGTTTCAAGACTGTGTAAGAAAGTGGAGTGTTAGCAGGAATGTCCTGAGATGTGATGGATCAGCAATCTACATAATGTTTTGTCAGATCACCACAGTGCCACAGACCCATAGAAACGAGCTTGTGCGGTCCACTTCACCACAAGATCGGATCTACGGGTTTATGTCAATGGGCATTATCTCACATGGACTCTCTACTAAGGTAGCATTTGTTCTGAACATCTAATGAATGTAGGGAATAAAAATAGTAGTAATATTTTAGAGTAAATGTTTTAAAGGCTGTGCTCTCAGGATGCATGTTTTCAGTTAGAGATCTTCAGAAATACGCTGACTTAAATACAGGTTTATAAATGTGGGGATTAAAAAAAGTAGTTTTTTAAATTCATTTTTATAGATTGCTTTTGTTTTAATTGTGAATATTTTAGCGTTGTTAAACTGTCCTAATTAAGAATCTATATATGAATTTATGAATTATGCTATTGTGAGGCATAAGTATAGTATTGTGAATCTACAATTAAAATAAAATTATTAAATATATATATATACATATATACTTGGGTGCTTGTATTTATTCACACAAAACTTAGTTAATGATTTTAAAGACTTAGTAACAGTATAGCTTTTATAAAACAAATGAGATCTGGTTGACTAGGGAAAGAACTCAAAAATTATAAATCCTAAATCTACAGATATATGTCTATAATTGGGAGATGACTAGACTTCTACAGTAGTGGAAAAAATGGTATCAGAAATCTAAAATCAATGCCGTGATAAAAAAGTGTTATTACTGCTAATCTGTATGGTTTGTATTCATTCACAGCACGTCAAAGAGCATATATTTTCTTTAAACAACATACATTTAAATTTGTTTTCCAAAATTATATTCATTCAATAAAATATATACTCACATATAACTCTCCCTTGTTCAACAGGTTGAAATGAAATAAATATTATTAATTTTGTAAACTTCCAGACTGTATGGAAGCAAGCCAATGAGGATACATAAAACCAGTTACATGTACTTTTTTAGGATTCTAAGCTCATCTGCAGCAAAATTATAAGTTGTACAATCGTTAATCATTTCACTCATATCAAAAAATGATTTAGCTTTTCTTAATTATATCTTCATTGTGAAAAATAATACTGCATAGTAATTACTTCATGATTTGGCGTGTTTTGAAATAAATAAAAATAGAATGTATTTTCTAGAGTCTAATACAGATAATTTGGTCTACACAATTTTCACCATTATTTATTTTCAAATCCTTCTCCTACTTATTAAAACTATAGTAAATAATCAACAATAATACATCCAATTGTAGTAGAAAGTATTTCAGTGTGTATTTATACATTTCATGTAAGAAAAAGAGGAAATACTTGCTGTAGCTTTTATTACTACAAAATGTGCTGTGGCTTATTGTCTTACCAGATATATATATATATATATATATATATATATATATATATATATATATATATATATATATATATATATATATAAATGAAGAAACTAACCATGAGTTTATACCTTTCTCCCAGATTTTACCTCCTTTTATATGGCAGAGCTACTAAGAACACATTTTCTTTTCATTAAATAGCTTCCTATTCAACCATCCTCTACCTGTGTTGTATGAATCAACATAAACACATGTCATTGGAATGATGGTGACTGAGCATTGATCACAAAACCAAACAAAAGCTTGACAAAGGCAAGTAATACTGTAAACTCTTGAAGGAAAGCATCAGTAAAAATTCCAATAGCTAGCTTCATAAAGTGAAGGACAATTTCTTATACCAAGCACAGACAGAATCATTTTCTTTTTAATAGTGTAGATTAATTATACTTTACACTTGTGTTTTTTCATTGTTACCTGAGATGATTTTCTCCTATGGTTATTTTCTTCTCTTCTCATATCCACCTTAAGTGTTCCCCTAAAACAACCACAAAAAGAAAATATCAGACAACTGCCACCTACAAGGATCATCTGTGTGGACTGTGAGGATGGGAGTAGATGGCTGGGAAGAAAGCACAATGACAAAATGGGGAAAACCTTTAAAAGTATTTTTCTTAAGGCTTGGCAGAGTGTGAGGGCCCCACCCCAGGATACTCATATGACACAGAGGTACTTTCACAGTTTGCATTTACGTGTTCATTTTGGTTGATGTTGCTTTCACAGTAACAGTTGTGAAAGTGAAAGGAGAAGGTTCTCACGGAAGCGCCTAGGTTCTGCACAATGAAGTAGTGAAAGCTCAAAAGAGGTTTGGATTTGGCATGGAGCTTAATAAGATAATTAAGAGTGTGGAGATTAATGGCTTCTGAAATAACATTCAAAATAATGTTTTTTTAACTAAAGGATCGTGAAACATAAAAACAGGTTTATCAATATTAATTAAGCCTTTGAAAGTTGACTTTCCACTAACAAAAGGGGAACAAGAGCTATTCTGTAAATAATTAGTGAACAATAACCAATAAACTCGATGAAACATTTTATTCAAATGTTATCTGTATATAAGATCTGTGTATCGTCTCATGATTCAACGTTAAATAACCAAAAAGAAGACAGACTTAACCATCTGTAGATTTCTCTTTGTTTATCCGATGTGTGTCTGATATCATGAAATATAATTATAAAAGCACAACAATTTCCCTCAAGTTTATTTCTTATGGATATTATCATATCAGTTCTTACTATGGAAATTATAATTTTGATTGATAAACATTGCATATCCTAAAGCATTTTCTCTTTTCAATTTTCCCCTGCATGTTTAGAAACATTTTGTTTAAATAATAAATTTAAAAGAAGGGTGTATCATCTAATCCTCTTCCAGGAAAACTGCATTGTTACAAGATGTTGAACTTGCTCAGCAATTTCCTTGTACAAATAGACGAAATAACTACAGTACAGTGTATTCACCTGCCGAGCCCCAGCAACTCTGAACTTGAAGTTTGCACAGACTTTCCCCACCGAAATATCGAAGGGAAACTTCTAACACGTTGTAACTGCTCTAGGGCAAATTCTTTTTCCATGTATTTTTAGAAGTAAAATTATTAAGGAACAAGCTATTTTGTACTTAGCAACTGAGAATGTGCTCTTTCAATCCCCATTTCTCTTCTACTGCAACCCGTGTTAAGAACTCCTCCCAAACTAATTTTAGTTAGCAGTATTTGGGTGCGTTTTTCCAAGTAAGATTTCTTTTCAGAACTTAGAGAAGTTTCTTCTTTTGCATTTCAAATTATGAGTCACAGAAAAGGTTCTATTTTCTTTACTACTGAATTCCAAGCCCTTTCCTCCGGGGGAAAAAAAAAAGTATTACTGGACACAAAATCACAGATAACACACAGTACTCTCTGTCTAAAACTTCTATACACAACAAAAGCAGGAGCACATTTCTATAGAGAGTTTTCTATTTTCAGTTTAGTGTCTATGCTAATCACAATTAGAGTAAAAAAGCAAAGAGAAAAGTGGGTGATGAGTTAACAAGAGTAAATTGAAAGTGCAAGGACCCTGCTTTATGTAACAGAAAGCATAAAAAGAAACAACAAAAGTTATACCTGATATGAAAGTGCGGCTTCACCAAGTGCAATGTACTGCTCTTAGGCCATAGTTTTTGAAATAATAAATAAAAACAATAAATAAAAATGAAGAAGGCTCATTTGGTTGTGACGCCTTCAGAGCTGCTTTACAAAGCCCGGTGTCTCTGGAGTTAGACAAGTCAAAGTTTGCTTTTTTTTTTTTTTTTTTTTTGGTTTGTTTTGGTTTGCAGTTTTGTTTGTTTGTTTTTGTTTCCAAGCAGGCGCATCTCATCATTATCATTATTTTTTCAGCACTCTTGCAAGGACTGAGAAGCTCAGGGCTTTTTGATTTGTTTGATTTTGTTGCTGTTCCTGCAGTGCTCCTGCTATTTCTCAGAGGAGGTCCGGAGGGCTTGTCTTCATGCTCTTCCTTCTCCGTATTCCAGGCACAAAGCACTGCGCAGAAGCTGCACCAATCGTTGCCATCAACTGGCAGCCGAATGGTAGAATGGGAGAGACCCGGAATCCTTCCAGGCTGCGCTGGCTTGAGAAATGACGACTGCACGCGTTCGTCTTCCGAACCGAAGGGGTGAAAAGGCTGGGTGCCAGTTTCCTACTCGGCTGCAATGATCTCATGCTCACTGCTCTGTCGTCCTGTTCGACCAGTTCAAATGCCTGTTCATTACAAACCAAATACATACATAAATAAATAACCCAACTACTTGGATTCTTCAGTACCCCAAAAGGTTATTAATATAAAATCAAAAGAAAAATCAGCAGTTCAGAAAAGAAAGAAAAAGCACATACAATTTTAGGATTCACTTGCTATGCCTCAATATTCTGTTATTATTTTCCTTTTCTCTCTCTCTTTAGAGATAAGCAGCAGAATTTATCAGGCGTGAAAGGGACAGCCTCCTGGTGGCCTGCCAAAAACCCAGAATAAAGGCGAAGTTGTGATTCAAAGCTCAGTTGCTTGCTGAGTCTGGCTAAAGTCAAGTATTAAGATCCACCATTTTCTGATCCTTGCTAGAAAAGAAGAAAAAAGTCAGGCCCGTTTACTGCTTCCAAGTCTCCGTTGGCACCATCACAAAATCTCAGTCGTCAGGTCACATGATTCTCTGCCAAATGTAGAGTGAGTGCATTCCCATCAACCATTCTGCTGATACTGCGAAGGCAGCTATTGTCTCGTTTAGACCCAAAGTTCAGCCCACTCTTCATTGAATTAGCTGAAAAACGCATCACCTTTGGGGGCTGGGAGTCATGGAAACGTCTACCTGGCAAGCTGCCCACTTTTCCTGCCCATCAACCAGAGATGGGATTGTGCTGCCTAAAGCAGTCATGACTTGGAATGTGAAGAGTCGTCCAAAGTGAATCTCATTCTTGTAACGCTTGTTTCATTTGCACAGAAAACTCAAGCTGGTAGTTGAGAGAGAGGAGAGAGAGAGAGAGAGAGAGAGAGAGAGAGAGAGAGAGAGAATATTTTTCCTACCAAAAGTAGCAAATAAAGATCTGAACATGCCTACTTCCCAACTTTATTTCTCAACACACCCAAACGGTTCTCAAATAAGACTGAATGCCCTGCACATTTTCTTCATTAAAGGCAACACTAATTTTTCTTTACCGAACATGCAACGAACCCAGGACGTTTGTTTTATTCTCCCACTTTTAAGACTTCAAAGCAAAACAAAAAATCTCTGAGTTTTCCTTTTTGCATTTTCATTACTTTCTGATTTTATCTAGCACCAAATTTGTGCTACATGGTCACAATATCCACTAGCAACAGAGACGTATTATTGCTACCATCTCCAACAAAGTGGTCCCCTGAGAGGCTGGGTTGTCTCTTCCAGCAGGCAAACCCCTGCAACTGGGTCTTGTGATAATCCGCATCACCACCTAGCACAGCTGCTATGCAAGTTTGCAGAGATTGACACATTTGAGAAGTGTTCTTTCTGTTCTCTCACTGGCTACGGTTTGCCTCTGTGTCATGAAAGATGCCTTTGAAAGATGCAGGGAGTGAGTGTATCAACAGCTCTTAGGCTATAAAACGAATTGCTTCCCCCTCCCTGGTGAATTTCTATTCCGGCACACAATAAGAGTTCCCATGTACAACCATTTCTATATTTCTATCAAAAGTGGAGTGAATTCAATCTTTAAATATTTCCTTAATCAAAATCTAAAGCCAAGTAGGAAAGTAAGCATCGTTAACAGTTAATCCAAAGATAAAGTGTACAATTTAAAAGATGTATATTTTCATAGGCCATTGAAAAATTTGCAGTGATTGTATCTAATGTAAATTATGTTTGCAAGAAGTCTCAAATTATGTTCAATACCTTCTCTGAATAATGGGTCTGCATCCCTCGCCAGGAATACACATATATTAAACAGTATTTGACAATTCAAACCATGACTTGCCTAAACATTATTTTTTGAAAGTCAGGGAACTGGGAAATGTCTAGTCAATGGTTTTAAGGGTTACTGTCTTATTCATGAGGTCACATGAGGAGCAGTGGGGGTGAATCTCACATGCACATATGGGAAACATCATGGAATCCTGCCTGTCTGTAACTGAAAACTGCATGCAGTTCTACACAGTAGAACTGGACCTTAAACATGTGCTGAATTTTGCAATTGCTTTTCTTCTAGACTAAAAAATTCTGGGCAAATTTTGTTAGAGTCCTAACCACAAGGCTAAAGAGTGTTGGGTGGAAAATTGTGCAATGCAAATCTATAGCCCTGTATTTTAAGACTGCAAAAAGTAGGTGACAGACATAGAATGGAAAATTTAAATTCCTAATGACTGCTCTGTTATGCAGCAATTAAGCACCAGTGTTTGCTAGGTCTTGCAATAGGCATAGGGGAATAACAATAAGCCAAATGGATAAGACTCCCAAGGGATGTCATTCAGTAACTACTTGGAAATGAGAAAAACTCACTACAAAACAGTGAAACTAGTACCTAAAGTAAATTTATTATAGTGAAACTCTTCATGAAACAAGCAGGAAGAAATTGAAGAATAGAAGAATAGAAGTGACATGCATATTAAATATAAATCACAGAAGGGAATGTTTGTTCAGTCTGAAGTTTTCCCTTTCAGTGAAAGCTCATTAGTTAATTTCTAATAATTTTATGTTTAACTTCCATAAATAAACTAATGTGAAAGTGGTACAGTGGCCTCCCAATTCCAAAAGAAAGAAACAAAGAAGAAGAAAGGAGGAAAAGATTGTGTGGAGGAACATGCATAAACATGGGTTTTCCTAATCTTCTATTAAATGCCACCAATCTCCCTGAAGTACATGCATAAAACAGATAGAAGGAGACCATGGCAGATGAAGAGAAGATGGAAATAAGGCTGGAGATTCAGGCTCTAAAGCCTGCCATGCTTATGAGTTCTTTTACCTTTGCTTTTTCTGGTTCTTTGTAACCATGAACTCAGGAAAACAGTGACCACAAGGACAGCAATTGGTTGGGACATTGCTATTTTAATTTTTCTTTTCTTTATCATTTTTAGTGACAGGGTTTCACTGTGTAGCCCTGGCTTTCCTGGAACTTGATCTGTATGCCAGGTTGGCCACAGACTCAGAGATCCTCATGCCTCTGCCTCCTGATTAAAGCCATGCACCACCATATTCTATAGTCAAACACCACAAACTGTGTCTGCATTCTAACCCGCACTTATAAATGTCAACTTGGAAGCCTGCTGAAATAAAATAAGGAGTTCTGATGCCCTTTCCTCAATATCAGAAGAATAGTATAAGACAAGTCTAAGAAAGGGTTAAGAGAGAGGGTTCTGGGGGAGGGGAAAATGAAAAAAAAATGTAATAATTCACACACACACACACACACACACACACAACGATGGCAATGTAAAAACCACTAATTTTAAGCTAACTTAAAAAGTTAATAAAATAAAAACGTAAGTGTATAGAATAAATCTCTAAATATTAACAATTGAAATAACAGAGGGTGGTGATTCATTTATTTAAGTATTTATTCATTTTAAGACAATGCATTTCTATGAAGCTTAAGTTCTTCAAAATTCATATTCCTCCTGTCACTATCTCTGGACTACTATAGTTTCAAGAATGTATTCACACACCTAGATTTCACAAAGTGATGTTTGCTTCTTTTTTTTTTTTTTGGTTTGCTACAATGCCCTCAAACTAGATAGCAATTGACAGAAAAGTAAGATATTTCCAAGTACTTTGAAAAAACAATAAATGTTTAAATAATTCATGGATTGCAAAGGTAGTCTTAAGCAAAACAAACAAAAAGAAAGCATAAAATATTAAGGGAATGAAAGAAAAACTGAAAATGTAACATACAAAAATTTGTGAAATGCCATTATAGTAGTGTTCAGAAGGAAATTAATAGCAATAACTGCATACATTGAAAATATCTCAAATCCATAATCCATGCTCTAATCTCAAAACCCATAATAATAACCTAAGTAGAAATGGGAAGAAAAAAATGGACATAAACAAATGAATAAAAACATAAAGTCAATGCAATAATATTTGGATTCTTTTATGGTACTCATAAAGTTGACAAAAGTCCTGGAAGCCAGGAAAGACAGATGATCCAAGCCATTATTATTAGAAAGGAAACCAGGGAGTCACATCCAGATATCAAAAGATAGTAAGGGGAAATACAAACCACATGAAGGTCAATTGGACACCTCTGTTGAAATAGATCAAGTCTTTAAAAAAAACATTTTATTTGTGTGCATTGGTGTGTCTGTGTGCACATGTGTTTGAACTCATGCCTGTGTGTTCACGTGGTTGTGCCTGTGTATGGGTGTGTGTGCATGTGATGGAGTGAGTGTGTGTGCATACACACGTGTGCATGCCTTTGTGTGAGTGTGCATGTGTGTAGGAAAGAAGAGGACACAGGACCATTGGAGCCTGGGTTACAGGTGTTCCGGGGAAGCCAGGATGTTACGTAGGTTTTAGGATCAGTTCTCACGGCAGAGCAGCAAGCATTTTTAACTGCTCAGACGTTTCTCCAGTCAAATGCAACTCTTCAAAATGAAACAAAAAAATCCCAACTCTTCCAACGTGGAATGACTTGTTTCAATTCATTTACAGCTATCCAGGAAGTTGAATTTATAACTTAGCAGTTTCCTCAAAAGAAATTGCCCAGGCACAGATGGCTTCCATGAATAACATTAAATAATGCTGACAGACTTAACATCAATTCTTTATATTTATTTAGATGAAATAAAAACAACAGGGAACAACTTTCTGTCATTTTCTAAAACTAATAATTATCTTGATTTTAAATCCACTTGATACAATCTCTAAGAGAAAATGATAAGCCAATGGCATTCATGATTATAAACACAAAAATTTTAATAAGCCATTATCAAATTCAATTAATCAAGATATAAAAATACTATATAACATGAGGTGGTGAAGTTTATTACAAAAATGAAAGACCTGATCAAAACCAACAGAATACATTTTACAATACTAGAAGGCTAAGTAACAAAAATCTAGTACCGTCTTTTGAAAATATTGAGCATCCATTCATGCATGGTTTAAAACATAATTAGGGAAAGAGAAAAACTTGAACTTGATAAAGATTTCTAAAACAACGACAAAATGCCTGGTAGTTAATATTATACCTATCTCCAATGGTAAAACACTAAATACTGTCTCCTCTAAGTTCAGAATCAA